GCCAAGTTTTTTTAAAATGAAATTCAAATAAAGTTGGAATAAAATAATTCAAAATTTCATGTAAAAATTGATGAATTATCAGTATAACTGGCTGTTTTTGTTTCTGTGCACATCTATCTGCTAGAGTGGCTACCTAATCCCTGTTGCAGATGCCTGCTCAGGCACATTTGTGTTCAACACCTACAAACCCAAACTTTGGTTTATAATGTGAAATGGGACTTAGATACAGTTTGTTCTCAGCCTGACCCAATCCCCAAAATGTAACTAAACATCAGAATCCCCTCCAAGATATCTTTTCAGCACCTCTTCATAAATTTGAGTGCTTAACACTTTTCACAAAATGCACAGATGCTATACTGATCATAGGCAAAGGGTCATAGAGTAACACTTTAATCCTAAAGAGAAGTACCAATCTACATGTAAATAATCCTGTCCATTTTTTTTTATGGCTTCTATTCTAGCATCATTACAATTGTAAACAATCTGTGCAGTAATAGACAAGGTTTTCATTTTGGCTGAGGGATTAACTTAAATGGAATTTAGTAAAGGCTTTAAGGAAATGGTAGGAAATATTTTCTCACTGTGTTACTTATGGCAAGGAGTAAAAATCTATTTAATATATAAATATCAGATATGTTTTATTTTATTATTTTTAATCACTAAGAACCTAATAGACAATAGGGCTTTGTTTTCTATTAAATTTAAGTTTTTAAAAAGAAAATATTATTGAAATTTAAAAAAAAAAAAAAATGCTTTTCCTAGTACAAATACAATTTCTATAAAGTCCTTTGCGCTTTATACATACTATGCAACATAGAACAAGAATGAGGCAAATAGGCTGTAATTGACATAAAATTTATACTTCCTTTTATGCCGAGAATTTAATTTGGTACATTGAACCATTGGATATTACACATTATATATATATATATATATATATATATATATATATATCTATCTCTTTTCTGGTTATATGTTATTTTTATAGACACAAAAGTAAATGCTCTGTTTATAATAAATAGTATTAACATTTACCAGCCTGAATGTCCGAGAAATAATTGTTGGACTTAGTCCATTATATATAAATAAAATGATAAAATATAGTATGCTATATTTAAGGGTTAAAGTACTCAATATCAGGGATACAGCATATGTAAATATAAAAGTGGACATTGAAGTCAACACCCAGAGGCAACAGGGTTTCATGCTAGATGCAACTGTCAGGCCTTATATCAGAAATAATTTCTAAATGCAGACATGAAAACAAATACCTATTATCACAATTTATACCAAACGGATAATAAAAAAAAAAGAAAAAACAACCAACACTACTACATAAACCACCATTGACCCTATGAACATGAAAAGAGAAACCACTGACAATTATTTCCTAGTTCAAACTACCAGTTATTAATAATTATAATTATTGTTATTACCATTCCACCACCATTACTACAATCACTTCTACCATAACTATTTGCTGTTACAATTGTTATTATAATCACCCACTTTCCCACAATTACTACATCACAATTACCATTGCCTCATTAGTCCACAATTACTACTGCACCACAGTTACCATTACCACATCAGTCCACAATTATACTCCCCACCCAGCAAAATTAATACTACTGCATAAATACTAATAAGTATTATAAATTGGAGTTTCTACCGTTTATAATCCCCAAAAACAAGCAAATAACCGGCTTTAAAATAACAAAACAGCATTAAAAAAAAATTAAAAATAACAATTTTACCTACCATAGTCTTACACAGAGTCCATCATAAAAAAAATTTAAAAAAACAGACGAATAGAAGATGTGTGAACACACATGCATACGTATGTGAGAAAAAAATTTATTCCAAACAAAACAGATGAACTGTGTGCATTGACACTGCGATTGCTGAAAGATGTTCACTACACAATCCAACATTCCAGTCCCACACTGTTCATATGTTTGTGTGAGCTGTAATGTGTGAACGTGCATGTATGTATGAGTGGTATTCCGATGACAATTCCCCCCACCCAACACTGATATACGCAAGCATATATAAATCCAAAATTTAAAAATTAATCTGTTTGTATGACAATTGCAAATAGCGTGAAACCCAGGGTCACAAACTCACATCCTATATATATATATATATATATATATATATATATATATATACTGTTAAATACATCTGTGATGCTCGACACATCAGTGATGTTTTTTGCCAAGGATCATTAGGGGTTTTACAATATCATACCCCCTTCTCCATGGTAACACACACACAAAACCAGCTATACTCTATTTATCAATAAATTAATAAAAGTTCAGTCAATTTATCGCTTGATCAACTTCAAAGTTTTGTGAAACACAACTCATCATCAGGCTCAGAGGGTCCATTAAATCAAATCCTCTGACTGATGAACAGTGTTCCATGAAACTTTGAAGTTGGTCAAGAGATAAGTTGATTTGACTTAATTTGATTATTGTCACTCTAGTTAACCATTAAGCACTTTCGTGACAAAAATTCAGCTCGCCTTTGAATATGTTAAATTCTTGTAATTTTTTATGTTTAGATAGGTGTTATTGATTTGCATTATTATTACTATATAGAGTGTGTCTAATGATTTTCAGAATGAACAGATACTACACACTGAACCAAGGCATAGGAAACTGGAGTGACACTTTGACCATCCTTAGGAGAGTACAGAGATACACTGATCCTTGGCAAAAGTGTCTATCCTTATGTGAATAATTTCATCATTTAGTGTGTGTGTGTGCATGTGAAAATATATATATATATATATATATATATATATATGAAGAAATATAGTTTTAAGGTATACTATATTTAAATAAAGTGCTCAACATCAGAGAGAGTGTATGTAAATATAAAAGTGAACAGTGATGTCAACATTCAGAGGTGACAGACTGTTTCATGCTAAATACACATGTGTTTTTTTTTTCTTGACCATTTACATATACGGGTCAGTGGTGTATTGTGGGTAGTCTATTCTAACGGTTATTTTGGTGAGAGTGGTTTGTTAATTATTTGTTATTTATTTATTTGGATTAAGTTATTTTAATTGTTTTTGCTTATCTATTCTTTTCTGTTTGATTTTTTTTTTAGTAATGTAGTAAAAATTTGTTTTGAAGTCTGCATTTTGAGATGAGTTCTGATCGTTTATTTAGGAGTTTGTTTTGGTCTGGGAAGGTAATTATAGTTATTTTTTCCTCCAAGCAAAGTTTGCAGTTTTTGGATTGACTGTTGTAGGCTGGTGTTCTTTTTCTTATTTTCCATGATATTTTTAGTGTGATTTGTGTTTAATTTCCCAGATTTACCCGGAAAGCATTGTGCTGTTTGCATAGTTACTATTTGTGAAAGATGTTTTGTGTGCAGAGTTTCTTTGTTTCCAGGATACTTCAGTTACTCCTACATATATTTTTTCTACGTTATTTGATGATTTCACCATGGCTTGTTATATTACACTGTTTTGTAAGCAATTACCGTTTATATAAATTTCTTCTTCATTTTTTTATTATTGTTAACTAGAGCAATAAAAATTAATTTTTCTTGGAGGCTTAACTCTAGAATGCTGTAGAGAAAGAAAAAAAATATTACTGAAATATAATATTGGTGATTTAAAAATGTAAATAAATTAAAAAAAAAAACAAAAAAACTCACAAATGCAGATGATACGTGAGGAGAGGCCCCCCTCCCCCCCAAAAAAAAAACTTTTGAGTCCTTTTGTTTTATTCATACTGTACAAAATTTTGTAGAAAATGAACTCTTGTCTTTCATATAATTCCAAGGTTTTAGTAAAACCACCAAAAATGAATGTTGTATCTTAAAAACCAAGTTGTGGAAAACAAATTATATACATAAAGAAATAGACATAAATACTTAAATGTAAGCGTCAGTGGATCAATATTTATGTGTGTGTGTATATATATATATATATATATACACACACACACAAAAGACAAAAAAATATACAGCAGTAGAGACAAAGAACAGAATATCAAAAAAGTGAATGATCAATTGTTGATATGAACAGGATTTCATAATGCAAAGATATTTTTCTATTATTCACCAGGCTTAAAAGAAAAAATTAAAATAAGGAAAAAGAGATCTATAATGTGTGTCAAATCATAAATAGGTACATGTATTTATTCTGTTCATAATGAATTCAAAATATAAAAATGTGGGGGGGGGGAACAAATTCAGATTGATGGAAAAAAAAAAAAATTCTAGGTGGGTATGAGGAATAATTTTTTTTTTTTTGCACAGGTAACAAGCCTTACACCATAAACATACTTTCAAATAAAATATACAAGGCAGTAAATTTACCCCACCTCCCAAAAAATGGGGGGTAAAAATAAAGTGGAGAAAAGAAATGTAAATAGCAAATTTTTCTTTTTACAATTCTGAAAATATTGTACATATACCACCCATGCATATACAAGTTAGTAATGTGTTCTTTTTGCAGATATAGACTGCACATTATATATATATATATATATATATATATAAAGAGAACAATTAGAATAAGGTAAAGGGGAAATCTTTTTTTGAAAAATTAATGAAGTGAATGAGATTGTTGTTTTTTTCATATATATATATATATATATATATATATATATATATATGTCCTCAAGACCAACAAATAAATACTATACATATGCAACAATATAGTGTGATTTTGGGGGATTTTTTTTTGTTTTTTCCTTTTTAAATTTTATTTTTGCAAATGCCTGGAGTTGGCTGTGACCATAGTTTGACCATTCAGAAGACATGCACACGCACAAACATGCTTGCATACAATATGCATTGTAAAGTGAGAGAGACAAGACATGTATGCCTCCAAAAGAAAAGAAAGGTTAATTTTTGGCTATATCATTGTCTGAGTAAGTAGGATGATTTGAAATTGTAATCCTCCAAAGTAATTTGCATTTAGCATGAGGTTTTGTAGATTGTTATTGCATAAAAAATTCCTTGATTCACCTTGTTCATGAATATTCAAAGATAGCAATGGCAGAGAGAGTGTGAAAGAGAAGGAAAGAAAGGGACTGGAAAAAAAAAAACTCAATCTGATTGAGAGAGAGAGAGAGAAAAAAAAGACTATGGTAAAAGAAAGCTAACTTTTAGACATTTTAAAATTTATAAAAAAAAAAAATAATAAAAAAAAATAATAAAAAAAAAATTTTTTTTTCAAAATAACATTTTTTAACATTAAGATAAATGAAATTAACAATTTTATAAAAATTTACTTGAGTATCAAACATTAATTTTAGAGAGAAAGAGAGAGAAAGAGAAAGAAACAAAGCCTAACTCTCTGCCCTGATGCTACCAAAGGTGGGGCTCATGCTGTGGCATTCGAACCACCCCGACACCACCACCTAGGCGCCGATAGTTCATGCTACCACATAGCCGCCAACAGTTCTGCTCGGGGTCATAGAGTTCAATTGTTTTAAGGTATGTGGTACCATCAAAACCACCAATTGCCATTAACTGACCATTCACCACAGCTAAACCAACCTGCAAAGAAAGAAATATCATTTTATCCTTCAAGAATCTATTTGAATGCAAAAAGTTTTTGACGATTTTTTTTAGAAAATGAGGCAAAGCATTTTTTTTTAACATTGGAAAAAAATAAAAGAACATACTATCAATCACCAAAAAGTCTTTTTCGTTTGTCATCACAAACAAAACTTTGAAATTTTTAAAAACTAACATGCTAAATGACACCCAAAGATCCCATTAGTAACTGCATAAAATTAGGTGACCATAGCTTTCTGTCTTAATGGTCACCACATTTTATGTGGTTACTAATGGGATATTTGAGCATAATTTGGCATGTTAGATTTTGAAAATTCCCAAACTAAGTTTTTAGAAATAGACTTGATTTATAATATAAATAAATACGTTACTAAATTGGACTATTAATGTGCAAGTTTGGTTTTTGTTTTAATGCTATGTCTCCTCTAGATGTAGGTGATCATGACTCAACAGATTCCTTTTCTTACTTGTGAACTGCCACAAATTATTGGAAATTTTACCCCACCACCATTTCCTTTTTCTATATAAGTATTTCATATTGAAAAATGAAATTTAAATTTTTATACAATCAGAAAATATACTACAATGCTTTTATTTTAATGGTATCTTTATTTATATTACAAATAATATCTATTTCATTGACTTTATATTAAAAGAATCTAAAGTATTAGGCTTAGGATGACAAAACATCCATTGGCAGAGAAAATGTAATCAGCAGGTCAAGTTTAAATTCAGGCCTTCACTTTGCAAATTGCCTTTGAAAGAAAGGCGAGATCCGTCTTTTCTTACCAATAACAATACATAAACAATACTGATCTCTTTAGTCTTGGTGAGGATACCAGACTTAAGGGATGGACAATTCTGAATTCAGGGCTGTGGCAAAGGCAACAGGAACCCACTATTATTTTCTAAGTAAGCCATAGCAATTCACAGATATTAAAGGAAGTGAAATTGGGTCGAGCCATGGCAATCTAAATCCTGAAATAATAAGAATAAAAAAAACAAAAAAACACCTTAGAAATGGCTCTATTAGTTTATATAACTTTGTTATAAAACAAATTACAAAAGAAATTTGACATTGTTATTTTATTTAAAAAGTAATTTGAAAAAGACTTTCTATGGCAGTGGTTCCCAACCTCTTTTTGATCATGCCTCCACCTAAGGATCTCTAAAATCCTGATGCTCCCTGTCACATATAATTCTTATTCAAAATGTGAACTCCTATTCACATGGAGGAAGCCTAAAAGGCCATTAACTTCCTTTAAGACTGCATACATGGGATAGTATTATCATTTTAGAATTTTACTATATATATATATATGTTAAGAAATGGACAAGGTCCGACAATTTATTTATTAAAGACATTTTTATTTATGTTTAACGTTGTTATTTTATAGATACAAGTATTTAAGCAAATGCTCTGTTTAAGATAAACAGTATTAAATAACATTTACCGGCCTGAATGTCCGAGAAATTTTCATAGAGAATATTCGTTCATATTCATATTCGGACATTCAAATACACCCATCACCCCCAGATCAAATTGTGTGCCCCACCTTGGAAACCACGGGTCTATACCATAAAAACTAGTCATATAAAAGTGAAAAAAGAAAAAGCTTAAATTAAGGTAAAAAATGTAAAGAAATAGTTTGCTGAATTTATTTAAGGTGTTTCTTTGTTTCAATAAGCTAATAGCAGTAAATTTTCTTCTTGTCCTGGACATGCATATTAGCAGCAAATTTTTTCATCATCACAAAGGAAGCGATCAGCAAAAAAGAAATTCTTGGATACAAGATAAATCCGATGGTGACAAACTTTAAGAAAAGAAAGGTCAATATGAAATAAAGAAAAGAAAAAAAAAAAAAAAAAAAAAAACCAACAACATGCATCAAAATACTGACCCCACTACGTCTTGAGGTCATGGCCACAACAGGTTGCCATGTGTTGGTCTGAGGATTATAACGCTCAGCACTACTCAATTCAGTTGTGTCATCTCTACCACCAACAGCATATATCATATTATTGTAGACTGCCACCCCTAAATGCTTCCGACGAGTTCCCATTGGTGACACTGGGTTCCAACGATTTGTCCGGGGATCATAGCGTTCAACTATAAAGAAAAAGACAAACCCATTATTTTTATACAGGTGTCAGGGAGCACATTTTTAATGGCCACAGTTTCTCAAAAACATCATTTCTACAGTGAATCTCAAGAGATTGCATTTGTAGATTAAAAGATGAAGTTTATCACAAATAAGTTTTAACCTGTTAAAATGTGATACCTAATAACTTGCTGATACCAAAAATATCTATGGATAGTGTAAATTTCACTATTTCAGTGCAGCAAGAAAGAGTAGCAAATGGCCAGTACAAAGCTGCTCAAAAGGAAAGCCTTATTCTATTTAAGATCGAGCTGTGTAATTCTTTTTCTGTTGTCAGAAGGAAGATTATTCTTTTACACAAAGATAACAGTGGCAATATTCATGTCTGACAAATGATCAGCATTTCAGTCCATCTTTATATAAACAAAAGATAAAAAAAAAAAAAAAAAAAAAGATTTAAATTTTTGGCAGACAAATTTAAATTAAATTTACTCCAAATAGTAGGAAACTAGGAAAGAGAGAACATTTTCAGTTGAGATTTCTCCCATTACAGGTATTATATTATCCATGATGTAGTAACACCTTAAGACATGGATGGAACAAAATAGCTGAAAGAAAGGAATGACAGATATGCATTATACCCAGAGATTTTCATATGCTGCTCTGTCATACAAGAAATTATATACAAATTAAATACTTGTCACTAATTTGTCCCACACAGAAAAAATGTAACACGTGAAATGGCAAGAAGCAAGAGGGTCTAACTTGTAATATTTCCCAAAGGGGAAATAGACTGGCAGGTGGTGTTCTCTATGTAGCTTGTGGTTTCCTCTGCTCTCTTAACTGACATGAGCAGTCATGCCATGACTTTCTGCTGTTTACATAGCAACTGTTATGGGTAGACATGTCTTGCCTTTATATGTGTTAAATAGCAACAGGGGTTCAATCATTCTATCAACCGACGTAACATGACCCTCACTAATTCACCTTACCCAAAGGGAGACAATCGTCCTTTCCCAAAGGTACACTGTATTATGATAGCGAATTACAAACTTTAAAATTGAGGTACACAATCTTACCAGATTACTGGCCCAACAATGATTAAATGTTGGAGTGTTGTACCAGGAACCCAACAGTAAAGGTTCAATAGGTTTAAAGTGAAATTCTGTAATAAATTTATTGCTTATAAATATTTGTAAAATGATTGAATACAGTACATGAGCAAGAGTGGTGCAGGTGGGGAGGGGGAGAAAGTGGAGAAAAGACGATATGAGCAGAAAAGCAATAAACCCAAATAAAAATATTTGGTACACTTTTTTTTTTTTTTTTTAAAGTATATCAAAATTGTACTCTTTTCTTGTGGCAATAAAAACACTGACTTTTTTCATGTTGTCAAAATCTAGGTTTATTTAAAATAAATTCCTCTGTTCGTTTATTTTTTTGCTTGCTCTTGTTAAGTAAATCCAGCTTGTGGAAGAATACTGACGGTGACAAGATTTGTTTTCTTTTCCTATTTAACTACATATTTCAATGTGCAATAGCAAAAAACACATCACTTCAAAAACTTTCAAACGCAACAACAAAAAATTTCTTTAAAAACTGTTTTAATAAAAAGATTTTATAAATTTCATATCAAATAGTTCTTGCATGAAAATGACTTATATCAATACTATCAAAGATGAACATAATTATAGATTGGTTATTAAAGTACTGAGCAGTTAAATTTAACCTTTTATCATTTTATAATGCCCATTAGAACTTTTAACATTATTATATTCTCATGCTCATTAGGTGACATAATCTCTTCAACTGAAGAATTCATATATCAGCTATAAAATCTATTCAAATTATAAAAGCTTTCATGATTAAAAAAACGTTTTTGTCAGCCAGATTCCAGTGATTTGAAATGTATTTAATAACTGCTACATTCAACTTACAAAGCACTTCACTGTTGCGTCAGAATCAAAAATGCTAAATGTTGAAATTTAAGTTTAACATTAACATTCTGATACTGAAGATGGCTGGATGAGCAGCAGAAAACCCTTCCATACATAATATTTTGTAACTTCTGTTAGTCTGTCTATCCAACACACCCTCTAAAATAGCCATATGTTCACTGATTGAAACCAAATTTTGGGGGAGTGCAAACAGGTAAGGGGGTACAAAGTACAGTTGGTTTTACTAGGTTGCATAACTCAGTACAATAAATTTTCATTATTTGGGGGGGGGAGTATCTTAAGTATATATATATTACAGACACACATACATAAGAATCCAGTTTGTCCTGTGTTTGTGAGAACTATAAACAAATCACAAGACCAAACTATTCAAAAAGCTCAAATTTGGTACCAGAAAGAAATATTTATGCATGGTGAAGAGTAAGAAATCCTAAGAATTTATTATTGTGTGAGAGAGAGAGAGAGAGAGAGAAAAAAAAAGGAAAAATATTTTTAAATTTAAAGGAATAGTTTAGGGATCAAATCTCTTCCAACATAAAAAGTTTTTATTTGAGCCAAGTCTGGTCAGAAGCAAATTATAAGATATAATACATTGAAGAAATTTCTGTAAAATCGTTTTTGAGGGCCAAAAATATCTCACCTGTATTCAAAGGAGATGTGCCATCACTTCCCCCGACTGCATAGAGATAACCACCAAGTACTGCAACACCCACACCTAATCGTCTTGTACTCATTGAGGCTACTTTGGTCCATTTATTGATTTGAGGATCATATCTGAAGAATTTTAAGATCAAAGAGGAAAAAAAGGGAAAGAACAATGAAATTTAAAAAAGGAACACAAATTAAAAAGAAAAAAAAAAAATTTCCCGATGATAAATAAAAGGGAAAGAAGGAAACTAGAAAGAAATCAAAAAGTCAGACAAAAGAAAGAAATCAAAAAGTCAGACAAAAGAAAGAAATCAAAAAGTCAGACAAAAGAAAGAAATCAAAAAAGTCAGACAAAAGAAAGAAATCAAAAAAATCAGACAAAAGAAAGAAATCAAAAAGTCAGACAAAAAAAGAAATCAAAAAGTCAGACAAAAGAAAGAAATCAAAAAGTCAGACAAAAGAAAGAAATCAAAAAGTCAGACAAAAGAAAGAAATCAAAAAGTCAGACAAAAGAAAGAAATCAAAAAGTCAGACAAAAGAAAGAAATCAAAAAGTCAGACAAAAGAAAGAAATCAAAAAGTCAGACAAAAAGAAATCAAAAAAGTCAGACAAAAGAAAGAAATCAAAAAGTCAGACAAAAGAAAGAAATCAAAAAGTCAGACAAAAGAAAGAAATCAAAAAGTCAGACAAAAGAAAGAAATCAAAAAGTCAGACAAAAGAAAGAAAAATACCTTTCAACAAAATTCAAGCAAGAAACTCCATCTTGACCACCAACTGCATACATGTGTCCATCCAGAACTGCTACACCAACACTTGTCCGACAGGAACTGGTTGGAGCAACATCACTGCTCCATTGATTTGTCTGAGGATCATATCTGTTCAGAGAAAAATTAAAAGATAGATGACTGCAAGAGGTGGGGGGGAGGAAGAAAAGAAGAAAAAACATGTTGAAAATTCCCATGTATTTGATTACAAATTTAGGGATTATTCTATAAACTTGCAAAATATGATATACTGTATTTTCTTAACTAAGCACCCAGTGAACTTATTTAGGGAACTAGTGTATTAGTGCCATAAAAAATCATGGCAATTGTTAGAAAGTTTTAATAGAGAGATTAAATGAAAAAAAAAAAAAGTCTTGAAACAATGTACTGAGATTCAACAGAGCAGAGATAAAGAATTCACAAGTAAAATAGAGGCCAATGAACCATTTAATTAATCTGTTCCTTTTATATTGTTTAGACATTCTATGGTATCTAGGATCCACCAATTAATCCTGGTATCATGTAAATTACTTTTTGCTCAATATTTTTTGCAAGTTAGAAATTTTATGTATTTAATATAACCATGAAATGGAAATATCTCTTGCAAGAAAAAGATTGGCAACTGAATGACAAAGATGGTGATGACAAAGCCTATTTCAGGACATCTTAAGATGTTCAACTGAATGAGCCAGAAAGATGTCCTACAATATTGCAATCTAACAATTTGATCTGTAGTTAGTTTACTAAGTGTGATATCATATCGTCATTGTGACGGATGACATTTTCTGTGGAAACAATTTGGATATTTTTTATTTTCTTTATTTTTATCCTTCAGTGTTTCTTAACATCTGCCTGTAATATTTTTTGCTTATTCAAGGAACTTGTATTTCTTCTAGTTTTAGTCTGAATGCTAACATTTGCATTTCATCCAGAAGCCCAATTTTTTTTTCAACAAAGAATAAAAGAATTGACTGATGTGCTTGAATCATCGGCCATAATTACATTTTTTTTTTATGTTTAACTTTTTAATAGGTTTTCAGTCTGTCTGCACAAACATTAGTTTCAGGGCTAACTAATAATAAAAAAGAGAAGAGATATTTTTAGTGAGAAAAAATAATGTGCATTCTTGTTGCCAGAAGCATGACTATTTGCAGTCTCATGCCACAGAATTGCGATTCCACTAAAAAGATAAAATTAAAATCAAGTAAAAAAGAAGGTAGTAGAAATCCATAATATATATATATATATATATATATATATATATATAGAGAGAGAGAGAGAGAGAGATAGAAAGAAGTGGGGGTAGTGAATATTTTTTTTGAGGAAAAACCTACCCCAAACTGAGCTTACGATCATCCCATTTATGAAATTTGCACTTTCTGACTCTTTAAATGATTCCCCACCTTTTATTAAGACCCCACTTTATTGCATACCAAAGAAAATTACTACATTAAGAACCCTCTGTAATTAGTATCTAAGAATACATACACAGCATGAAAAAAAAACAAAAAAACATTAACAATTAAAATTTCAGTTTTTTTTAAGCCATGTGTGTGTGTGTGTGTATATATATATATATATATATATATATATATATATATATATATATATATATAAATAAATAAAAAGAGAAAGAACAATAAAATATATAATCTGGTGTTCTTATTAATTATTTTTATTTTTTACAAAACAGTGCTCAGTGCAAATCTACAGAGCATAAATATTATAAAATTTACTAATTTCAAAATATGGTTCTATCGCTACACAGGAATTACCATGTTTCAAAAATAGAAACTAAAAACTTCAAATTCAATTATAGAATTAAATTTATAGAATTAAATTAAAGTCCCTAGTCCTGTTTCATGTTCAAGTGAATTTTGGAATAACTGAAATTTACTGAGTTTTATAATATTAGTTTCTAAGGATACGGGGAAATTCAATCATTTTGACAAGGGGTGGTAGGGTATTCATTTCCACTGACAACTATTGTATCAAAATATGACTTACTTTCAAAAAGAGGTTAAGTTAAGGTAGGGTAGGTGTGCCTTTTTCAACGAATGATGACATCCATTTTACGGCACTTTTGTTTCGCTGTTAAATTTGTACTTTTATACATAAAGAATTTTTTCTAAAATGGTTGTTTGAATTTAATTCTATAATTGAATTTGAAGTTTTAGTTTCTGTTTTTGAAACATGGTAATTCCTGTGTAGCGATGGAACCATATTTTTAAATTTATATATATATATATATATATATATATATATATATATATATATAAAACCCCCATGCATTCACATGTTTGTTTTTGTTGCCAAAGTTTCATAAAAAAAAAAATGTCAAAGACAAATAATTGACTTGCATGGCACTCTTTGACAATGAATATGTATATCCATTAGGTTCCAAAAATACTGGCAAATTGACAATGTAGAGATCACTCAAGATCTGAAACAGATGTGACAATATTATTATCCTCATCTGAATCAGTCAATTCATTAGTATTAATATCAGAAATGTCAATATCCAATTGATCTTGCATATCTTCTAGATTTTTTTCATTTTTTCCCTTCAAGACTCTAGAATACGGGCTGTATATCACCAAATGAGCAGTCTGGATCACTAGACTCCATTTCCATGCTCGATTTCTTGTCAAAGAAAGATGAAAACATAAAACTTATATTTTCTTCATTAATCAAACAAAGAGATAGTAGCTGTAGCACATAGTCATAATCTCCTGTTTGCATGTCTTCCTGTGTTATTTGTGATGTCATTATATATATATAATGGCAGAGCATATATGGGGAGGGTTACAGCAGGTCGAACATTCAGAGCCGATATTTACGAGACAAGTTTGGGCATGTTCAATGCCAAAGAGTCAAAACTTGAAATTAATGCCCAAAACATTTTAAATAAAGTTCAATAGATAAGTTAAAAATAACACAATTTTAAAAATATAAATCAAATTTAAACTGTATTTACATTTCCAACTTTTAATGGGGGATCCTGCCCCATCCATAAAAACTCACCTTTCGATGCTGTTTAAATAAGACTGGCCATCATGTCCACCAACTGCATAGAGCAGGTCATTTAAAACTGCAACGCCAACTCCACAACGTCTTTTGCTCATTGGAGCAACCATTCGCCATTCACTCGTTTGGGGGTCGTATCGCTCAACACTAGAGATTGCATCACCACTGCACCAACCACCAACTGGAAAGAGGGGGAGAAGGAAAAAAAAATTCAAATTTAAAGACTTTCATAATTTGATTTTTCTTTGATATTAAAAATAAATTTAAAAGGCAAAATTACGTCTTTACAATGGATTTTATAACTCTTCTTTCAAGTATTTGTTAATAAATATTCAAAGACCATGGTGGTCAAAAAAAAAAACAAAAACAAGGATAAACAGTCACCAGTTGCATATCAGTATTTGCATCAGTGTACTGATAAAAATGGATTGAATTCTGAAAACTTGCAAAAATAAAGAAAAAAAAAAAAATCCTGAAACCATTCCACAATTCAAGAATAAATCCTGATATGAAGGGAATGATAATGGTAATGATAATATCAGCCATTTCTTTATAAGGAAACATTTGGCATTTATTAACTGAGCAGCCAGTACTACTTTTGGTTGAAATTTATAAAATTGTTCTCCTCAAGCAATTTTTCTGGAAAACTAGTTTCTCAAGTCCAGTAGCTGTAATCACTCTTTCCAGTATTGTTCTTTCCTTACTTACCTTTTACTTGATTGATTGTTGATTTGTTTTATCAGCATATCAACCTCTGTGGGTTAATTTAATGCCGAAACTGGATTTTTATTCAGGAATATTTCAAAACATTTCAAGTGATTGTAAGGTTTTAAAATTTTCAAAATATCACAAGTTATATAGTTGAGAAGTATTTTAAAAACATAAGTTGTATGGTTCAACATGCATGCTCTATTTTCCATATAAGTTGGAAGTATCGGGCGCCTCGAGGTAGTGTAATGGTTAGCAAGCTTGTCTCGCAAGAACAATTAAAACTGAGTAGTGAGTTTGATCCTAATAGGGTGCCCCATATTTTGGCCTTGTTCCACATCTAAGCTACGCTTGGAAAATCACTATAAGTAGGAAGTATTTTTTCTTCAGATATCCTGTTATTTGGGCAGGAGGTACATTTTTGAAAAGCATGTTAAGATTTTGAGCTTGGTAACAGTTGCTACGTATTTTTTGTACTTCTTACATTCTATCAAGATATGTTTGACTAAGGAATTGGTTGCAGTGAGTACACTGAGGTGTAGTTACTTCCTTGTGTGTGTGTGTGTGTGTGTGTGTGTGTGTGTGTTTGTGTGTGTCCAATTCTTATTCTGTTGAGCACTATGTCTTATCTGCAATCAGGCTAATGGCTCTATATTCTTTCTTATTGGCTAAGGTTCATAGAGTTTATTGTTTGGAAACGTGTCCCAAATTGCTTGCCATTTTCTCTTTATGTGTTGCATAATTTTGTTTTCATAATCTGTATATAGGAGTTTGATGTTGGTTATTTTCATTTTTGTTGTGTCTTTTGCCAGAGTGTCGGCTTCACAATTTCCTTTAATCCCCATATGGCTAGGAATCCAAGCCAATATTATTGTTTTGTGCTTTATCAAATGATGACAAGCTTCTAGGATTTCTTGAATATTGGGATGATTTATGTTATTTTCTTGAATTTCTGTTAAACTAGATAGGGAGTCTGAGAAGATTATAAATTTCTTTTCTTTTGATTTTTTTTTATCATTTTAAGTACCATTTTTATGATTTGTAGTTCCACTGTATAAATGGATGCATTATTTGGTAGCCTGGTTTGTTTGTGAATTTGACTGTTTGTGGCTGCTGCACCTACTCTAGGATTTTTGATCCATCTGTGTAGAATGGTCTGTAGTCACAATATTTGTCTCTTAATTCTTCCTATATGCTTTTGTTGATTGTATTTTTTTTTATGTGTCAATGTCTATGTAAGATTTGGAATTGTCGATAGAGTTACCTTATTTATTGTGACTGTTATAACATTACCAATATCTTTATTTGTTCTTTGATTCAAAGACCAAATGAAGGGATGACTGTTGGTTTATTTCTATAGAACTAGGTATATTGAGGTTCATACATTTTTTTGGTATGCTGGGTTATTTGGTTTAGATTGCAGTTTTAGTGCATACTGGAGGGATAATTTTTCCCATCTCAGAGATAACGGTGGTTCATTGATATCTATATAGAGACTTTGCATAGGGGAAGTCCGGAAAGCTCTGAGATTTAATCTCAGGTCTCAATTATGTATAGTTTGTAGCTTTTCAAGATAGGACTTATGCGTGGCACTGCAAATAATGCATCCATGGTCTAGTTTTGATCCGATATGTGACCTATATATTCTGAGAATTACTTTTTGGTCAGCACCCCAATCAGATTACGTTTAGAAGCTTCAAAGCCTTTTGGCATTTTTGCTTAAGGTAGTCAATGTGTGCTTTGAAGTTAAGTTTGCTATCTAGTATGATTCCTAGATATTTTATTTGTTGGACTATGGGAATTATGTGTCCATTCAATTTTAGTTCTGGATCGAGGTGATAAGCTCATTTTTTGCAGAAATGCATACAGTTTTTGTTTTGGAGAAATGGAATCCATTTTCATTTGTCCATCTATCTTGTTTAAACATGTTTATAAATATCTTTCAAGGGAAGGCATGTTTGGTGATTAGTATATTAAGAAATCCTCTACATATAGGCATTTTTCAATTCTTGTATTAATGATTTTAATAATACTATTTATTTTTAGAATAAATAGTGTGACTGATAAAATACTCCTTTGAGATACTCCTGCTTTCTGTTCATGTGTGTCTAATGTGTTACCATTTCGTACTCTAAATGTTCGGTTTGACAGGAAGTTTTGGATGAATATAGCTATTCTTCCTTTTATTCCCATGTGGTACATGTCTTTTAATATACCATATTTCCATGTGGTGTCATAGGCTTTTTCAATACCAAAGAATATTTACACCACATGGTGACCTTGAATCAGGCCATCACAAATAAAAGTTGATCACTGGTTCCTTGGTTTTTCGAGAGTCCACTTTGGTAACTAGTTAAGATACTGTTTCTCTCCAAATACCACATTAGTCGAGAATTTACCATTCTCCATTGTTAATGCAATTGGTTGGTAGTTTGTTGGGTTGGAATGGTCTTTGCTGGGTTTGAGAATTGGAGTCATTATAGACTCAAGCCATAATTCTAGAAATTTGTTTGAACACTATATATCATTGATGATTTTGAGTAGTATTAAAAGACTCTTCTGGCAGGTGCTTTAAAAATTGGTAAAAAAAAAAAAAATTTGGTAATGGATTTCATTTCAGAGTTTTTACTTTTGCTTATGGAGTCTTTCAGTTCTGTCATAGTAAAGAGAATATTGTATTCTTTATTGTTTGAAGTGAACACGAGTTTTTCTTGTTCCATTATATTTTTGAAATTTGAAGGTGTAATGATTTGTTGAGAAACTTCTTTGAAATTTTGTTGCTATTAGCTATTTCTTTTTTTTTTTTCAGTATATTTGTCTCCATTTGTTTTGGTTAAATAGACTGTAGCAGTTTGTGATGTATTTCCATTAATTTTCCTTATTTCCCATGTTTTATTTATTGGGGTTTTGTTGTTTAATTTGGAGATTGAGTTTTTCCAAGTTTCTCTTTTGGATTTTTTTTTTATTATATACTGTGCTTTTGCTCATGTTTGTTTGTAGTTTTATAAGTTGATTGTGGTTGGGTTGTCTAAGAATATCTTTAGCATTTTTTCCTGCTTTTAACTGCTTCTCAGCATTCTGCTGTTAATCATGGTTTTGATTTGGTATGTGGTTTAAAGGAACATCTGGGTGTTGTTTGTCTTTCTATTTGTGTTAGTATATTTGTAAAGGAGACTATTGGTTCTAGTTCATTGAGAATTTCCATGTTGATTTGGGATGAACAAAGTTCATTGAATTTTAGCCACTTAACTTTGTGTAGTTGCAATTTTGGATTCCTTTCTTCTGGCATAAGCTTGCTTATATTTAGGAAAATAGGTGAATAGTCACTACCACATTGGTCATCAGGAACTTTCCATTGAAAATCTATAAAAATTGATGGGGAGCATATGGTTAGGTCAATGGCGGATGTTGATCTAGTGCCTGAGTGTAGGTATGTGTGAATTTGGTTATTAAGGATACATAAATCAGATGATTCTAGTAGAGATTCTATAATTTTACCAGTTTGACTGGGGTTCCTACAGCTCCATGTTCTGTGGTGTACATTAAAATCTCCCATTAGTAAAAATGGAGTGGGAAGTTGGCCAATTAGTCTTATTCAGTCTTGTGTTTTAGAGGAATATAAATTAAACATATAGTTATTGTTCAATGAATTGAAGCTTTTATTGCAATGGTCTGTAGATTTGTGTTTAATTGTAGTTTTTCATGGGGTATTGATTTTTTTAACCAATATTGAAGTACCCCTACTTGGCATGTTCTCTATTGTTGATACATTAATTTTCTGGTAAGTTTCATATCTTTTAAAGGAGATGTTATTGGTATCTTTAAGAAAGGTCTCCTGTAAGCAAACTATATTTAGATTGAAATCTGTAAGGAGTTTTTGATTTCCTCATAGTTTGGTTTAACACCTCTTCAGTTCTATTGTATTATGCTTGTATTCCGTTTATCCATTTCAGTGGTAATTATTTTTATTTTAGAAAGTGGATCTTAAGGATAACTATGTTTTTGGTTGTCAATTTCCATATATTCTATGTTTTATATACTGTTTGTTTTCCTTGTTTGTGAACTTGTCCTTCGCCAAGTATTTGTATGTTCTTCATTTAGGTTCTTTTCATTTTGTTTTTTTTTTCTGATTATCTTTACGTGGATTGTTGTCCTGCTTATTTGCTTTTAATTCTATTTCTTCTGTTTTTTGGAGTTCAATTTTGTTTATTATTGACATTTAATTTTCTGTCAGTTTTCTATTTGTGTAATTTTCCATTTGAAACATTTTGAGTGTTTTGTAGTTGAGAAGTTATTAGTGAATTTTATGTTGGATTTACATTTGCTTGTGGTCAGTTTTGGTTCAGCTGTAGAGTTTGATGCTGGGTTTTCCTTGAGGGGGGCTTTTTTTAGTTTTTTTCTTCTGGCTTTTTTCCAGTTGGCCGAGGTTGCTGTGATTTGTTTTCATTTTGGCTATTGAATACTATTTTGAGA